CCCAAGTAGCTGGACCACAGGCGCCCACCACAACACCCGGCTATTTTTTGGTTGCAGCCATCATTGTTGTTTGGTGGGCCTGGGCTGGATTCGAATCCACCACCTTAGGTGTATGTGGCTGGCACCTTAGCCACTTGAGCCACAGGCGTCAAGTCAACTAGCTAGTATTGTGGTGAGCACCTATAGTCCCAGCTACTCAGGAGGGTGAGGCAAGAGGATTACTTGAGCCCAAGAGTTTGAGGTTGCTATGATCTACACAATGCCATGGCACTCTACTCAAGGCAACAGAATGAGACTCTTGTCTCAAAAAAAAAGTAATTTAAGGCTGGGTGCCTGTAGCTCAAGCAGCTAAGGTGCCAGCCACATACACCAGAGCTGGCAGGTTTGAATCCAGCCCGGGTATGCCAAACAACAATGAGAAGTCCCAGCTACTAGGGAGGCTGAGGCAAGAGAATGGCTTAAGCCAGGAATTTGAGGTTGCTGTGAGCTGTGATACCATGGCACTCTACCCAGGGCGACAGCTTGAGGCTCTGTCTCAAAAAAAAAAAAAAAAGTAATTTAAAAAGTGGGGGGCAAGAATAATTTTCTTTAAGTGATTCCAAAGGCTCTTTTTAGGTCTCATCCTGAGGCTATTAATGCCCACTTTATAGGCTCCTGTAAAATTAACAATAATGAACATGAAATACCTAGTACACAGTGGGGGTTCAATAATTGGTACTCATCAACTAGGATTATTAGCAACTACTATGATCTGATGTGAATTTTTTTTTTTTTTGAGACAGAGTCTCACTTTGTCACCCTGGGTAGAGTGCTATGGTGTCATAGCTCACAACAACCTCAAACTTTTGGGCTCAAACTATCCTTTTGCCTTATCCTCCAAGTAGCTAGGACTACAGGTGCCACCACCATGCTAGGCTAGTGTTTTAGAGACAGGATCTTGCTCTTGCTCAGGTTGATCTCCAACTCCTGAGCTCAAGCAATCCACCTACTCCTGCCTCCGAAAGTGCTGGGATTACAGGTGTGAGCCACCACTTACACCAGCCTGGTGTGAATTTCTGTAACATCTGTAACTGCACTTGGTTAGAAAGGGGCTGGGGGACTTTTGGAAAAGACCCAATGAAAGCGTGAAATGTTCTTGTCTTCCTTACTGAGAAATAGGGGAAAGGTCCCCCTGCAGGGTTCAGAGTGGGTGTCACTTCCAAGCTTTCCCCGCCTTTTCCCTTGCTGCACGTGCCTTTCTCCGCTTGCAGTGGAGCCAGAGGTCAAGTACGTGGGGAACATGCATGGCAACGAGGTGCTGGGCCGTGAGCTGCTGCTGCAGCTGTCCGAGTTCCTGTGCGAAGAATTCCGCAGTGGGAACCAGCGTGTCACGCGGCTTGTGCAGGACACGCGCATCCACATCCTGCCGTCCATGAACCCCGATGGCTACGAGGTGGCAGCTGCCCAGGTACGGGGTCCCGGAGACGAGTGCCGCAGAGACACAAGGGCCAGACCAGGAAACAAAGTAAAAGCCAGTAGACAACATGCCCTCCCTGTCTCATTGTAAATGTAAGCCCAAAATGTATCGAAAATTAAAGATGAAATGGCTGAGAGGGATCAAACCTGACAGAAATGTGAATAAGAGGATGAAGATTGGCCTTCAGTCTGGTAGCACCTTAGGCGATAAATGTGGGTGCCTCTGAGCTGCAGTTCCCCCAACACCTTTCCAGCTGACCTCACAGTTTTTGTTTGTTTGTTTGTTTGAAGAGACAGAGTCTCACTTCATCACTCTTGGTAGTGTGCCGTAGTGTCACAGCTCATAGCAACCTCCTCTAACTCCTGGGCTTAGGCGATTCTCTTGCCTCAGCCTCCCAAGTAGCTGGGACTACAGGTGCCTATCACAATGCCAGGCTATTTTTTTGTTGCAGTTTGGCCGGGGCAGGGTTCAAACCCTCCACCCTAGGTATATGGGGCCAGTGCCCTACCCACTGAGCCACAGGCGCCACCCTGACCTCACAGTTTTTTTGTGGGGATCAATGTGGCAACGTCTGTGACAACACTTTGTAAACTGAAAAATACTAAGCAGACATTACAGGATATTGCAAAATATATGTCCTTTCCTGAACTTTTAACTTCAAATCCTAATACCCTCCTCCCTTCCACACAACGTTTTCATTTGCATTTGTGGAGAAAACATCAAGAACAGCTTTCCACAGAGCTGGGGTCAGGGGCCAATTCTAGATTCTTCATGCTTTGTCATATTTCGGTAGTTTCTCCCTCTACCAGCATAGTAATCAGCCTTTCCATTCTTTATTTTAGAGTTATATTTGCAATGGGATAGATAAGGACAAATGTCTATGGGCTTTTTACTTTATTTTTAACATAACTTCAAAATTTCAATGTGCCTAACTTTAAATCAATGGTTCTCTTTTATGACTGGGTATCAGCACCACAGGTTTTCAAAGAGCAGAAAAACTGGAAAGAGGTGTGGGGGAGAATCCCAGCCTGGCTGCTTTGCTTCTGTTAGCCCTGTCCTGCATTGCGGTGGGGAAGCTGGAGGACTGGCCTGGTCCTGCCCACATATTTCCAATAGGTGGAGTGGGAGGCAGTAGAGAAGCCTTGCCAACCCACTAGACCTTAGAACCATCTCTGGGAAGCTGGTCCCTTCTACTCACCTACTCATCTGCTGCATTCTTGTTCAGAGGGAGCAGATCTTGAACTGAACCCAAGAGAGGACCCTTCAGGTTCTCAAACTCCCAGAGCTACTGGCCATGGCCAGAAGAAACCTGCCTGCATGGCTGTGCAGGAAACACCTGCCTGGCCACCAGACTCATAGGTGGGCAGAATAATGCCCCCCCCCACCCCAGGTATGAGCACATACTAATCTCCAGAACTTATGAATGTGTTATGTTACTTGGCCAGGGGAAGTTGGGGTTGCAGATGGAGGTAACATTGCTAATCAGTTGACCTTAAACTATCCTGGATTATTTGGGTGGGCCCAGTGTAATCTTCACAAGGGTCCTTAAATGTGGAAGAGCGAGGCCAAAAGTCAGAGTTAGAGAGACTTAAAGATCTTACACTGCTGGTTCAGTGCCCATAGCTTGGTGGTTAGGGTGCCAGTCACATACACTGGAGCTGGCAGGTTCAAACCCAGCCTGGGCCTGCTAAAACAACAATGACGACAACAACAAAAATAGCAGGGTGTTGTAGCTGTAGCCCAGCTACTTGGGAGGCTGAGGCAAGATAAATCCCTTAAGCCCAAGAGTTTAAGAGTGCTGTGAGCTGTGACGCCACAGCTCTCTACTGAGGGTGACACAATGAAACTCTGTCTCAAAAAAAAAAAAAAAAAAAAAAAAAAAAGATGCTACACTGTTGGCTTTGAAGATGGAAGAAGGGACCACAAGCCAAGGAATGTGTATGGCCTCTAGAAGCTGGAAAATTCAGGAAACAGATTCTCCTAGAGCTGTTGGAAGGAATACAACTCCATGGACACCTTGCTTTTAGTCCCATGAGACTTTTTTCAGTCTTCTGACCTCCAAACCTATAAGATAATAAGCACATGGTGTTTTAAGCCACTAAGTTTGTGATAATTTGTTAAAGCAGTGATAGGAAACTAATATACTACCAATCTCACTTATGGGAACATTCTGTTAGGGGAACCCTCTTCCTGACAGCCTATTGACCAGGATGCATGGTAAAATAAATGATAAAGCCAATAGCTGTTAATATTGGCAGTGAAGAACAACCTTGATATGAATGAACACTATCACCATAATAATATCCAGTAATGAGGTATGTAGCACTTTTTAAGGATGAGTTCTTGAACTTAATTGTTAGACCTTGTATATACATCCTCCCCATATACTTTAGTTTAAATCATCTCTGGATTACTTATACCTAATAAAATGTAAATGCAGCCGCCGCGGCCGCTGCCACCGAGACCAAGATGGCCGCTAGACTCGCCACCTTTCTCAAGAATGCTTGGGCCAACGAGCCAGTGCTGGTCATGTGCTTCACCGTCGGGGCCCTCACTATAATTATGCCGATGATCAGCCCCTACACCAAGTATGCTAGCATGATCAATAAGGTCATGTCCTACAACTACCCAGTGCCTGTCCGAGATGATGAGAACATGCCCGATGTGCCCAGCCATCCCCAGGAACCCCAAGGTCCAAGCTTGGAGTGGCTAAAGAAACTGTGAGCACCTCCATCTATAGGGAAAAGGCTCCCTCTCTCTCATGCCCCCCCCCAAACCGCGAAAACCAATAAATAAATAAATAAAATGTAAATGCTATGTAAATCGTTGTTATGCTCTGTTATTTAAAAAAGAATGACAGAAGAATGAAGAAAAAAGTCTATATTTTCAATAAAGATGTAGCCATTGTAAGCCTACCTACATTTTTTATGTGCAGTTGTTTGAATCCATGGATGTGGAACCCTTGGATACAGGGGGCCAACTGAGGGTCTTTGCAGATGTAATTAAGGTCAAACTGGATTAGGGTGGACTCTAAATCCCATATGACTGATGTCTTCATAAAAAGAAAGAAATCAAAAAAAAAAAAAAAGAAAGAAAGAAATCTGGGTGGCACCTGGGGCTCAGTGAGTAGGGCGCCGGCCCCATATACCAAGGATGGCGGGTCTGAACCCATCCCCAGCCAGCTAAAACAGCAGTGGCAACTGCAACAAAAAATAGCCGGGCATTGTGGTGGGCACCTATAGTCCCAGCTACTCGAGAGACTGAGGCAAGAGAATCACATAAGCCCAAGAGTTTGAGGTTGTTGTGAGCTGTGACACAACGACACTCTACAAAGGGGGACAAAGTGAAACTCTGTCTCAAAAAAAAAAAAGGAAAGAAAGAAATCATAAATGAGGGCGGAGATCTCAGAGAGCACGGCCTTGCTGACACCTTGATATCAGACCTGAAGCCTCCAGATGCATGAGAGAATAAATTTCTGTTATTATAAGCCACCTGATTTGTGGTGAATGTTACAGCAGCCTTAGGAAACAAATACAGTTCATCAACTGGTAAATGGATAAACAAAAGGTGGGAAATGCTATAATTGAACTATTCAGCAATCAAAGGAATATAAAGTATTGATACATGCTACAACATGGGTGAGCCTCAAAAATATGGCTGGTGAAAAGAATAACCACAAAAGAACATACAACGTCTCATATGATGTGTCCAAAAAAGGCAAAGCAGTGGGGACAGAAATGACTACCTGGGGCTGGGGTAAAAATGAAGGTGATAAAAATGTTCTAAAATTAGATTGTGGCTTGGCGTCTGTGGCTCAAGTGGCTAAGGCACCAGTTACATACACCTATGGTGGCGGGTTCGAATCCAGCTCAGGCCTACCAAACGACAATGATGGCTGCAACCAAAAAATAACTGAGCGTTGTGGCGGGCGCCTGTGGTCCCAGCTTGGGAGACTGAGGCAGGAGACTCACTTGAGCCCAGGAGTTGGAGGTTGCTGTGAGCTGTGATGCCACAGCACTCTACCCAGGGGGATAGCTTGAGGCTGAGTCTCAAAAAAAAATAAATAAATAAATAAAAATAATAAAATTAGATTGTGATGATAGTTATACAACTCTGGAAGAATGCTAAAATCATTAAATTATAAACTCAAGATGAGTGAATTTTATGGTATGTAAATTATATCTCCATAAAGGTGTTTGTAAAAAAAATTTGGGCAGTGCCTGTAGCTCAGTCAGGCAGGGGCCGGCCACATACATCTAGGGTAGCAGGTTCGAACACAGCCTGAGTCTGCTAAGCAACAATGACAACTACACCCCAAATAGCTGGGTATTGTGGTAGGTGCCTGTAGTCCCAGCTACTTGGGAGGCTGAGGCAAGAGAATCACTGAGCCCAAGAATTTGAGGTTGCTGTGAACTGTGGTGCCATAGCATTCTACCCAGGGTGACATAGTGAGACTCTGTCTCAAAAAAAAAAAAAAAAAAATTGGGGATCCCATTAACCTGAAACACCCTCTTCTTGGTAGAGAGTCTCAGGGGATGTCCTTCTGCAGCACGTGGTCTGCAGGGAAACTTGAACTGCACCACTGGGTCTTGGGATAAGTTAAAGAAGAAACTGCAGGGGCGGCACCTGTGGCTCAAAAGGGTAGGGTGCCGGACCCATATGCCAGAGGTGGCGGGTTCAAACCCAGCCCTGGCCAAAAAAAAAAGAAAATGCTGGCTAGGTGTCCATAGCACAGTGGATAGGGTGCCAGCCACATACACCAAGGCTGATGGGTTCAAACCTGGGCCTGAGCCAGCTAAAACAACAATGACAACTGCAACAAAAAATAGTCGGGCATTGTGGCAGGCGCCTATAGTCCCAGGTACTTGGGAGGCTGAGGCAAGAGAATCACTTAAGCCCAAGAGTTTGAAGTTACTATGAGCTGTGATGCCATGGCACTCTAACCAGGGTGACATGGTGAGATTCTGTCTCAAAAGAAAAAGAAAAAAAAAGAAAATTCTAAATCATTTGATAGAATATGCTAATATGTAAAAACAATTATATAGTGTTCTTCAAATATAAAATTTAGTCTGAAACCTTCATTTTTCTTCTCTTCATTTCCCCCTAGGGTCCAAATGTGCCAGGGTATCTGGTTGGCAGGAACAATGCAAATGGAGTGGACCTGAACCGCAACTTCCCCGACCTCAATACCTACATCTACTACAATGAGAAGCATGGAGGTCCCAACCACCACTTGCCCCTGCCAGACAACTGGAAGAGTCAGGTAGGAGATGAAATTTGCAAACAGAAGCAGATAGATCAGCATTTGGAATTTCTTGCAGAAAGATTGCTTAGCAATCATCACATCAACTAAACAAGAATTAAGCATCACCTCTACTCCATGTTAACTGTCTAGAGAAATCATAACTGTATTTAAGGCTTCTTTGTATTTATTTCTTACCCCAGGATACAATCCTCTGTGGAGCACAAGCTCACTAAATGTTTGATGTTAGTGGCCAAGATGGCAAAAGGAGGTAAAAGCAGTATCGTTCAGTTCCATAGTACTTAACAAGGTTTTGTTGTTGTTTTTTTAGAGACAGGGTCTCACTCTGTTACCTAGCTTAGAGTACAGTGGAACAATCATAGCTCACTGTAACCTTGAACTCTTGGCCTCAAGCATTTCTTCTACCTCAGCCTCCCTAGTAGCTAAACTACAGACTCATGCCACTATGCCTGGATAATTTTTATTTTATTTTATTTTATTTATTTATTTTTTGAGACAGAGTCTCACTTTGTTGCCCTGGTAGAGTAGCATGGCATCACAACTCACAGCAACCTTAAACCCTTGGGCTCAAGCGATTCTCTTGCCTCAGCCTCCCAAGTACCTGGGACTACAGTCACCCACCACAACGGCTGCCTAGGTCTTGCTCTTGCTCAGGCTGGTCTCCAACTCCTTAGCTCAGCAATCCACATGCCTTGGCCTCCCAGAGTGCTAGAATTATAGGCATGAGCCACTGTGCCTAGCCTAATTTTTATTTTTTTTAAGAGACAAGGTCTAACTATGTTGCCCAGACTCCTGGCGTAAAATGATCTTCCCACCTGAGCCAAAGTGCTTAGATTCTAGGTGTTAGCCACAGTACCAGCCCAGCAAAATTCTTCCATACCAATTTCTGTTGATCATCATAATAATACTGTGTGGTAAATGCATGAAGGCATCAAGCAATGTTACCCATTGCTATTTTATAGCTATTACACTTAAATATAAAAAATTTAAGTTCACATAGCTAGTAATAGATGGGATCAGGATTAAAACTCATGCCTCCTGATTCTTATCCCAGCATTCTTTCTACTACAGGAGGCCATGGACAGAGAACTCTAGCATTCTACAGAGCAGTCTCTCTTATGCATGATGAACTGTCTACTCATCAATTAAATATAGAAGGAGGTTTGGCCAGGGGCTGTAGCTCAAGTCAATTAAATATAGAAGGAGGTTTGGCCAGGGGCTATAGCTGAAGGATAGGCCATTTGACTGCAGAAAGAGGTTCAGGGAGTCTAACATATAGCTTTTCCTCTTCCCTTTCTATATGACCCTTGACTACTTTGCCTACCTTACCCCAGGCCCTTGACCTTCTCACCCAGTCCCATTCTATACTCCTTACCTCACCATCCCGGAGCCACCCTTTAGTAATGTAAGTGGTTTCATCCTGTGGTGGGCCTGCTCCTGGGGATAACTACTGTCATCCTTGGAACATCACTGCCACCCCTGATTTTTATACTGGGTGGGATAGTTCTAAATGTTCTATTTGTGAATAGCTAAACATAGAGACCAGGGAACAAAAAAAGTAAACCAAGTGTAAACCTTTAAATATATAAAGCCAATCAATAAACTTTATATATTTAGAGTTATTTTAGGTTCATAGCAAAATTGCACAAAAAGTACAGAGGGGCATATATTCCTTGCCTCTCCTTCATATCCCACACCAGAGCGGTACTTTTGTTACTGTCGATGAACCTACATGGACTCATCATTATCACTCAAAGTCCATAGTTTACATTAGCACTTTCTCAATGTTGGACACACTATGGTTTTGGACAAATGTGAGATGATAGGTAACCACCATCAGAAGAAGATTTGCACTGCCTTAAATGCTCTCTTTTGGCCTATTTTGTATACGTAAGGAATTAGTAAAAGGTTCTATACCCTCAATTGTTGAAACTATCATTCCAAAGGTTAGAATTTCTTGACCTATACTCCTCATATCTTGTAGGACTCGGTTGCAGTGAGACATGCTGTATCCGCAGGCCACTTCCTGAAAGATCTATTCCAATGGCCATTTGGCATTTCTAGTTGCTCCTTCACTGCTATCCTCTCCTCCCCTCCCAGGTGGAACCTGAGACACAGGCGGTGATCCAGTGGATGCGTTCCTTCAACTTTGTCCTTTCAGCCAACCTCCATGGAGGGGCAGTGGTGGCCAATTACCCATATGACAAGTCCATTGAGCACCGGGTCCGAGGCTTCCGCCACACTGCCAACTCCCCCACCCCTGACGATAAGCTTTTCCAGAAGGTATGCAGATGGCAGCTTGTCCTGCCGGGGGACCCTGGAGCTCAGGAGATGAGCTTCAGGTCAGTAGCACAGGACTCCGCTAGCTACAATTCCACTGCCTGCTGTGAGGAGCTTACAAACCAGTAAATTACATTTTGTTTTGAGGGATAAGCCATAAATTCATGAAAAAGTAAATAAAAAGGAATGCCTTATAGTATAATTACCACAATGCAAAAAATATGTAAGCTAATGACAAGCACATACCAAAACTGTAAGTTGCCTCCATCCAATGGAAAAAAATGTGTATATATACCAAAAGACTAATGGCATTAAATGTGAATTTGGGGAGGGGTCTAATTTATAATTTTATGATAAAATATCCATATTAATGAGAATGGGCTAAGCTTATTAAAAAGATTTAAATAATTGTTCAAAACAACAGAATGAAGTTAATATATTAATATTTGCTTTATAATTATATATAAATATATAACATATAATTTATAATACAATAAATTTATCATTCTATAATAAAATGTATAAGCTAAATTATAAAACAATGTTATTTCACTATATGCTAATATTATATAGTAGTACATTAATATATAAGATATTGATATAATATGAGTAATATTAACTATCAGTTCATCAATTAATGAACTACATAAAAACTAGCAGTAGTTGTTGCTTTGCAAAGTGAGTGCATTGTTATATTTTCTTCTCCATTAATCTTACTTTTTCCACTGTTATAGTAATGAATGAAAATTATAGAGCTCAAATATATTTCTGTCCTTCCAGCACACACCTCGCACCCCGCAACACACGGTACTTTTCCTGGAGTGGTCCTGCCTTACCTGCTCCTTGATTTCTTTTACAAAACCTAACTAGAAAAGGTGCAACTAGAAGGGACCTTCTATATCACCCATGGCCACCCTTCATGTTGCACAGGAAAAAACTTAGCCACAAGGTAGTGAAAAAAATCAGAGTACAGATCTCCTGATTCCAGTCTGCCCCCCACACACACAAACACACACACACTTGCCCACATACACACTGTAACACACACACATGCACACATGTTGTCACTCTATCCCTGATCATATTTTCTTTCACTGAACCAAATAACCAGCCATTTGTACTAATATTAATATGTATTTTATTTTAATATATTAGCAGGGCTTCTTGGCTTTACCCAAGTTCTGAGTAGGAGCTTTGCCCTCTGAGTTGGAAAAACTCAAGGTCATTTTCTGCCTGCTTTTCCTCTAGCTGGCCAAGGTCTACTCCTATGCGCATGGATGGATGCACCAAGGGTGGAACTGTGGGGATTACTTCCCAGACGGCATCACCAACGGAGCTTCCTGGTATTCTCTCAGCAAAGGTAAGGAGAGTCCTGGGGACTGCTCCAGCTGAAGTAGAATCGTGCTCATTTCTCCTTCTAAATTCCCAATTTGCTGAGGGAAATGATGAGAATATTATAGAATTTTGCATTGAGGTAGAGCTCTCAAGTTGGCCTTTAGTGTCCTCTTAAGATTCTTTAAAACTAAGGTAGAGGCCGGGGACAGTGGCTCACGCCTATAATCCTAGCCCTCTGGGAGGCTGAGGCAAGTGGATAGCTTGAGCTCATGAGTTTGAGACCAGCCTGAGCAAAAGCAAGACTCTGTCTCTACTAAAAATACAAAAACTGAGGCAAGAGGATCGCTTGAGCCCAAATTGGAGGTTGCTGTGAACTTTGACCCCACAGCATTCTAGCCAGGGTGACTGCTTGAGACGCTGTATCAAAAAAAAAAAAAAAAAA